TGCTTTGTATATTTTAAATATGCATCCCAGAGCAGCAATTTGCTCTCAAATAAAACACAATCTCTCAGAAGCATGAAATAAACATTTCTTTTCTTCCCATATCTCAAGCTACTCTGTTATTTTGGTGGAAATCGCCACTCGCCGTGACCTCATTTCAGTAAGTATACAAGCATCAGGAAGTTTTTTTTTTTGGATATGAGGTGATGATAAGAAGTCCAATTATTGTCATGAGCAGGAACAGGCAGATTCAGTGAAGCTTGATGTTACGTGGCGCCCACCGCTTCCCAAACTAGAGGCTGGGAAATCAGACAACGATTGCCCGGATCCAGATGATTACTGTGAGGTTTGTATTGATGTAACTGATGCATTGCACTTGAACGCTATTTACTTCAGCACATTTCCTCTTTCTGATTTACTTTGAATGAATTTGCTCTTGATGAGATAAATGAAAAGCACTCAGTGTTCATAGTCAAATTTCACACAGCTAATAAAGAGATGCTGGTCCCACAATGTCACCATGAGGCCGACGTTTGAGCAGGTGAAAAAGATTCTTGAAAAAATGAACCCGCACAAGGTCAGCCCTGTGGATATGATGATGAACCTGGTATGTATCTTGTCTTGTCAAGCTTTTCAAGTTTTATTCCAGTTTGGACACACACACACACAAACACACACACACACATATACACGCACACAGTACTGTGCAAGTAAAAGCTTATTCGAAAAAGTTAATAAAATTATATACAGTTTATATATATATATATATATATATATATTAGGGCTGTCAAATTATTAATCGCGATTAATCGCATCCAAAATAAAAGTTTGTGTTTACACAATATATGTGGGTGCACTGTGTATAATTATTTTGTATAAATAAATACACACACATGCATGTATATTTAAGAAAAAAATATTATTTATATATAAAATATTTCAGTAAAATTCAGTTTGATATTTAGTAATTTTATTATGTTTTTAGGTCTAATTTTTACTTTTTTTTGTAGGTTTTGTTTTTTATTTATTTACAGTTAATACAATTTTACTTAATTCAGGTTATTTCCAAGGCAACACTTCTAATTTTCATTTAGTTTTAGTTTTTATTATTGTTATTTTCATAATGTTTTTTTTTATTATAGTTTATTCTATACCAGATTTATAATGTTTCTAAAAGTATTATTAAATAATAATAAAAAAAAATTAAATCACCTTTGTTGTTTTGATTTTCTAGATGGAAAAGTACAGTAAACATTTGGAAACCATTGTAGCTGAGAGAACACAGGATCTTCTTCAGGAGAAGCAGAAGACAGACCGTTTACTCTACAGTATGGAAGTGTTTATGGCTGATGAAAGTTAATTATCCAAAATCATTTTTTCAGACAAGAAAAAAAAAAAGCCTTTCAATGAATGAATTTCCAAATGGTTCCACCTACTGGACATTGAAAGTACTTGTGCTGTGACGGTTTCCAGCTTGACCATTTGTGTGCATTTATTACATAAATTGTGTGTATATACATATATATATATATATATATATATATATATATATATATATTTTTTTTTTTTTGTGTCAGGCATGTTACCAAAGCCAGTAGCTGATGATCTTCGTCAGGGATGCACAGCAGAGGCCCAGAGTTACTCCAATGCCACTGTATATTTCAGGTAAGAATGAAAACTATTAAGGACTGAAACAATAAATATTTGCTTTTAAAGTGACTTTGGGTTATATATAGTACTACTGTTCAAATGTTTAGGTTTGTTAAGATTTTTTTTAAATTTCTTCTCTGCTCACCAAAGGCTGCATTACATCAAAAAAAAAAAAAACAGTACTATCCAGCAATATCATTCCAATTTAACTTTTCTTTGAGTATTTTTTTAAATGGAGTCAGAACAGATTTTTTTTATTGTACCAGTTACTTACAGTTTAATCTATTCTTCTGAATAACAGTTCCAATCTTGAACTCGTTAAAACTATAAATTATTATATGATATATTAATGAATATAAATTATTTTGGGCAGTGACATAGTGGGATTCACACAACTCTCAGGCTCCAGCACTCCTCACCAGGTTGTGGATTTTCTCAACAAGCTTTACACAACATTTGATGACATCATCGACAACTATGATGTCTACAAAGTGGAAACTATAGGAGATGCATGTGAGTGCGATTACAGATATCCTGCTTCCATTGTTTGTCACACGTTCGCATCAAATTGCACAAAAATCAATGAAAATCCCCTTCCTCCACAGATATGGTAGTCTCAGGAGTACCGAAAGAGAACGGGATCAATCACGCTGGGGAAATTGCCAGCATGGCGCTGGACTTGATCAGCGTCTGTCACACGTTTAAAATCCCACACAAGCCCACCACACAGCTGAAGATACGGGCTGGGATTCACTCGGGTCAGCATGGCTTCCATTAATCATCTTTCCTTGAAATTAGCCGTCAAGCTGGCTACCATTTTAAACACATTCTAAACTCTGTCCTTTGGACGAGACAGTATTTCATGAACATTATTTACAGTGTTTTTATGTTATCTTAGGCCCCGTTGTAGCTGGGGTGGTTGGCACCAAAATGCCCCGATACTGCTTATTTGGTGACACGGTAAACACCGCGTCCCGAATGGAGTCCACCAGTGAAGGTATTTGGGGAAAACGCAGCTGTTTACACAGCGTCAATTAGTAACTGACCCTGTCTGACACTTCCGGGGCGAAAGGAATCTTGTAAATATTTGTCTTTAAGTACTGTTTTATTGGATATAAAAGGATAAAACTGAATGTTGGTTACGGTTGGATCTAAATAATAGCTAAAGCGTGTTTTGGATCATTATACAACTTTTTGAAAACTTGTCTTTTCCATTCCATGTGCCTTTATATTTCGTATTGTTGTTATGATGCTTATAGCTTTAAAGATCCAGTGCAGTGGCTCTTCTGCTGACCTTCTACACACACTTGGCGGATACGTGCTGATGTGTCGTGGGTCTCTCAATGTGAAGGTAAGATGGTCAGTTCAGAGCACTTGTTTGCGTATGCAAAGAAACCACCCACAGAGCTATCATTTTGCCTGTCGTAAATTTAGTGGCAAAATATTTCGTCCATTCACCCTGGTTGCCATGGTTAACTTGTAATCTTTGCATACTATGAAGACCCTAAAGGGATTTGGTGATGAAAAGAAAAAGTGATGAAAATTTTCCTCAAGAATTTTTTTTTAAAAATAAGTTTTTACTATAAAATAAACAGTTAGACAGTTTCTGCTCGTATGTTAAATATATAGTATGTTTTGTCAAAAAAATAAACTAATCAACTGTTATACAATGCAAGCTAATGCAATGCACATATCAAAATAATGAATCCTTAACTTTGAAATATTTCTTTTTAAGATGTTTCCAACTCTAGATTTGAACCAATTGTACACAATGGCCCATATAACCTATTTGACCAGGATTTGTTTCCAGGTATGACTAAAAATGGGTTTTTGACTTTCATTTATATTTTGACGCATAAACAATATTCTCTCAAAAATACAAACATGTGCATACATGTTGCTCACATATTATGGTAGCCCTCTTTGTGCTAAATATAGTGTAATTTCACGTGTGCCATTGATATGTTTATAAGCAACTGAAAAAAAAAATACAAATGTCAGGGCATGTCAGAACATCTCAAGGACCCCAAATACACCTTGGTCCCCAGGGGGTTAAACTTTTGTGATGAAATGACACATTTCGGAAATTTGTAACAATTTTACATTTTGGCAAATTGGTGGCAAATTTGTATGAATCCGTACAATCTTTCATGTTTTTGTACGATTTGCTTATGTGTTCTTCATGTGTATAGGCCTACTTTTTTTCTAACAATCATACTTTTTTTGTAATATTCACATTGTACAAAACATTTGTAAGAGAACGCAAAAGTTTCTCGGTGGAACGCAATATTTTGTAAGAGAATGCAAAAGTTTTGTGAGTGAATGGAAATTTTCTTGGGGGAAAGCAATCCATTTGAGAATGCAAAATATTTGTGAAGGATTACAATGTTTCTCCGTGGAACACAGAAGAAGCTACATATTTATGAGCAAGCAAAGACATTCTTTTTTTCCCTCCCATCAAATGTTTCTTCAATCTTCATATCCCCTTAGGTACTCCATAGCAGCATTAGCTTGACACGAAGATTAATGTGCTGATACATGTTGTGGAAAAAATAAACACCATATTATCGGTTAAAATATACATAGCTTAGCCTAAATAATGTTTAAAAAAGAGTAACTCAATGACAGTTATGAAGTAAGAAATATTTTTGTCAAAATGATTTTTGAGCTCATCCTCATTATTTTTTTTCCAAATATTTATTTTATTATATATTATTGTCTACTAATTGTCTATTATTGTCCCGTTGTTACCAATGCAATTCAACGAAACTTGACTATAGTTGGCTTTCAGAAAACGCAGCTCTGGTAGATCTACCAAATCAATCTTCTATTGATGTTTTTCTTCCTGAAATGATGGTATATGGTCCCCAGAGGCTGAACTCTGATCTCAGCTCAGCTGTGCCTCTCAATTAGGACTTGTCCTCAGCTGGCTTTTGTGTTTTCACTTGTGTGTTCATTATGTACAAGCAAATACACACCTCTGCTCAATCTCGCTCTCTCCCTTCGTCCCCTCGTTGTTTCTATTGTGTGATGCTGTCCTTCAGGGCATTGTGTTTAGAAGATTTACTGATTGCGACTTTTTGTTAAAACAGGGCAAAGGCGAAATGACAACTTGGTGGCTGGAGGCTAAGATAGACCCTTTGTCACGGGAAGACGAACCTTTGGGTCTTCCCATTCCTGTTAGCAATTAACTTATGTGCTGCAGTATAAGCACAGTCATGACAGAAACTTTAACAAATAAAAGTGTTTAGCAAATATGCTAAAGGATTTCTACTAGGTGTATATGTATGTGCAAAGTATTATGATTGCTGCTATGCCGAAATGTTGCTGCTTTCATTTGACTACAGTGTTGTAAAATTTTTTTTTTTTTTTTTCTGGAATAGGCTTTTGTCATAGGAATGTATTTGTACATTTCATTAAAAATGTGCTTATTTTATCTTCATCAGTAAATAGTTGTGTTTGAAAGTTATGCTGAAATAAAATGGACAGACAAAAACGTTGCTTGTCTGATGTAAATGTCCTTATATTTAGTATAGCATTTTGGTATATTTTTACTATAACTAGCCTATTTTTATGTTCTTAGCACCTGCATTGACTGCGACGAAGTCTATTGGTCTGTATTTCGCGGGGGTGCATGAGTTACAGCCAATGACACGCCCTCGTATTCGTTGCATGGCAACGCGTTTGCTTGTGACTGTTTTCGTTCAAGGTTGAGCCTGTGGAGAACAGAACGCGGTGCCTGCATCAATGTAACTACGTGCCACAATAAGACGGTTTATTACGCAAACTTCCCGGGAAAATGTATCAGTCTGTGCAAATGTCTTGAAAAGAAGCTGTCAAGCCTCACAACACAAGTGCTCTTGAATCCCAAAATATACGCGGTAAGTCTTCGTTTGTTAACCATCTGTATGTTATTCTATAGACTATAGTATAGTAAAGATGTAAATATCGCTTATATGTCTCATTATCATCATGTCATTTGAGTAAATTCAGCGTCCTAATGCAGAAATCCTTCTTCTCACCTTAACCTACTTTATACTTGATCATTTTGGTGTGTTGCTTACTATCCAATAATAGCCTGAGCTTCTCATGGATTGCTGTGTTCATATATATATATATATAACATAGCCTAGCTTTATAGCAATTTTGTGTTTTCCATGCATGGAAGAGTAATGTTACATTTGAACATATTGGAAATTGCTACAGTGATTTTTAATCACTAGGCCTATATATAATTGGTTATAAATGCTCTTTATGAGTGCAATTTCTTTAAAATGAGGACTAGAAAAGTCATTGAAAATGAGGTGGAATCTTATAGATGGAAAAAGTGGTTGTTGGTCATTTAAACCTTTAACATGCCAGTTTTATTATTTATACAAAATTTTTTCTAGACTTTTAAATGGAGAATTTTCTCCATAAAGCTTGTGTGATATATTCCAAATACCATATGATATGTCTGTGAGGAAAAGACTGAATTTTAAGTAGCTTTAATAAGATTCTTGTCAATGGATTACGATCACCTCACATTGGATTCATTGGTTATCACCTTCATTGGTTATCATTTTCTTTGCATGTTGTGGTGAGATCTGGTATTACCTCAGCCCTGAAGAGCGCCTGGTATCGAAGTGGCCAGGTGCCTTTTGCTGTCAGGTCAGAATTTCTGGATAAACGTTCCCTATAGCTCGCTTAACCTATACCAGTAAATCTAGGTGTATCCCTACACTCTTGTGAACCAATACATTATTACTAGCAACAACCATCAATGCAATTCATACTCACCCTCCGTGGAGATGCTTCCGTGGAGTCCTGGTGACCTCTTGCCCTAGCAAGGGTAGCTCTAATGCTCTTACTATTGCTTATAGAACTGGTATTGTGACCCGAGGCAAAGAACTATTCAACTTTTATCTTTATAAAATGAAAATTTATTTATACAAACGATAATAACACTGGTTACACAATGATTGTTAATAGTAGCAACAAAAGAAAAGGTTACAGATTATAATACCTCAGTTTCTCCCAACTTAACAGGGCAGTCCTGTATAAGTGGTTCAGTCACAAAGTTTTTCTTAACATACACAGTTCAAATATCAAATGAATAACTAACCTTGTCTTTCTATGAGCAGGTCAAGTTATCATCATACAGCTAAGCAGTTAAAGCAATATATGTTCCAGCAAGCTGGATCGAAGAATGATTACCTTCGAGGATGCACGCAAAAATCTTCTAGCAAGATGCAACAACTAACACTGAAAAAGCAGCCTTATTTATACTGGCTGTGTGACCCAATCTCTCAGACCATCTGGGTTTTTCCATACACTTGCAACACAATAGTAACGGATACACTTGCAACACAATAGTCATGCGAACAATAGTCATGCGACTCTTAGTTCCTCTTCTGAGTTTCGCTGAGCAGGCAGTGTGCATTCTTTCTCCCCTTCCGAGTCTTGGGTTCTTTGGTCCTTCTTGAATGTGTACATGCATATAAATTCATATGTGTTTTTGTCAGTTCATTAAAATCCAAATAAACCCTTGCACCCCCTCTTGGAGTGGCAGAAACACCTTTAATACAATTTCCCGGATAAATTATATCAAGTTCATCAAGTTTAACATTATAAACATAGACAGTGGGCACCACAAAATCCAAACAACACTCATAAAACCTATATCTTAACTCAGACTCTCTTTGGAAGAAGCCAATTATCAGCCTTCCGTACTGTGCCAACAGACAGCCCATCGTTTGTCGATACCAACGCCGGTCCACCGGCATCCACCGGAATGAGTCCTTTTCTCTTGGGGCCTGGTCCATCGTCACCAGATCTGCCAGGGCCAAGGCCAGTTCGCTTCCCCTGGCTGCTATGCCCTCGTTCAGCACTCTTGGTTCCCATCGAACCTGTGTCAGACGCTCCAGGCAGATCTATATTGGGATCGAGGACAAGCACACAGACAATTCGGCCATTAATACGCGCCTGTTTTGTGCAAAAGCCCAGGACTTCCTTGTGTCTTCTTGGATAGGTCTGAATGTTAACACAGCAGGTATTCTGAAATATTTGCTCCCCCAGACTAAACAAACGTTCGAATCCATCATCTAATTCGATGACTTTCCATTTCATGTCAAGGAAAAATCTCATTTCCCCATATGTAAAATTATGAGTGTTGCCCGGACCTCCACTCCGTGTCCCATGCCTGTCAAAGCAAATGCGAGTCATTTGTCTCATGCTAAAACCCAGTTTCATCACACATTCTGGACAATAAACTCTAACGTCTTTACACTCTAGTTTATATGCTTCAATTCTCATACTATAACTCTTGAACACATCAAAACATTCTTCACAAATTAAAAAATGCCCAAGTTGCGTCGCCCTCCTCCAGTCAGCAGGGACCTATAGTATGATAACATACAGTAAATAAACCATGTCATGAATGAGGTAGTTCAAACAAAAATACCAACATTGTATAAAAAACAAAAACCAAAAAACAAAATCCGTTTCTTCAACCCCAAATAAACCAAACGAACTTTCTATGTTTATTTTTTTTTTTTTCTGTGTTCCTTGTCCTTTCAACAATGACCCCGTCAATCAAACTGTCATTGGTCAGTTGCTGCCCCCCAGGGGGCCCTTCCTGAACGCAGCAACCCCATGACTTGACTGGTCACCATAAATTAAAATTTCCAAATGCATCACCCTACTTATACATGAAATGATGTAGTTCAAAAGAAAATGAAAACATTGTTAACAAAACAAAATTGCTCATCATTTCGTTCATTTCAAGTATCATTTAGAAAACAATTTGCAAACTCAACAAATTGGCGAACTTAACATGTTCCGTCAGTGACAATAATCTGGTTTTTTTTTTTTTTTTTCTTCCCGTCACTGTTCTATTGATCAAAATATCTCCAAAATTATTGAAACCAAAAATCATCATGAAAACAATTTATGACAAAAACAAAATAAACAAAACAAAATAATCCCAACCAGCAAGTGCTCTTTTTTTTTTTTTCAGCACTGCCAAAGTCATTCAGGTTCGTTTTTTCGTGTTTTTTTTTTTTTCCTTATGTTTTCATCCACAAATAATGCAATCAGTACGACAATTGTCAATCATTTTCCACATATAGCTATAATCATTAATGCCCATCAGAATGGCTAACATGAATAGCTTTGGCTCGTTCACTTGTCTTGAACTGCCAGCAATCAGTAAAACCAAGAAATAAAGAACAGCCAATTTTTTCACCAAAGGCTTTAAAACAGTATTTCTTCTATAGCTTAAGATAATCAAAAATACGTATGTGATGAGCGCAAGCCCCACACCTACGTATTTAACCCAAAGTAATTCAACGTAGCATTTCGTGAAATTGTACACAGTTATAGCTATGGAAAAAACCATAACTGCAACAATTCCCTTTTTTCCAAACAATTTAACATATCTCGCACTTCTCAGCAGCTGAGACACTAGAATTAGCACTAAGGAAATATCGTCCAAAAAGTTATAAAGGCCAAGGCTCAAAAACATCAATACTACTTGCTCCGGCATTCTTTGACTTAATATTCCAGATATCCAATATACAATCAACCATAAATTTATAGAAACTATACTCACAATTTCTTTTGGTCTGTCAATGCAATGCCTTGTAGTATTGCTGTAATTGCCTGCCATTGAGTCTACTGCTGCTGTTGCGAATAGAAGAAAGTTTAGAGAGAGTGAAGAGGGTGCAGATAGCCACCTTGTCCGTCACCAAAAAGCAACTGAATGATCCGTAACCTTGTCCGCTCATTTAAACACTTCTCCATCCCTGTCACCGCTAGGCCTGCACTTCCGTCCCCTATTTGGTCACAAGAGGAACTAGGGCCTCTGTGTCCTTTGCCGAGTCAGGCAATTTCGACAGTTTCCTGCAGACCAGCCCCAATTTCGAAAGTTTAACGAACAGGACCACCATGACTATCATTCCTATAACAATAGCCAGGCAGATTATGGCAATCTTAACGTGAAACCAAGATTGCACTATTAGGTCCCACACGGAGACAGCGAGTTCTTTAACGTTATCCAACACCCATAGAATAGCCTTTTTCTGCACTTTCCAATATACGGTAAAAATATCGCCCCTATTTGGCTTAATCAATTGAGACTCAAAGTCCCAAAAAAACAGAAAACCTGGCCCCATGGACAGTCCCTCCAGGAAGTCGTCAATAGGGTCATAAAAACTCCGTGATTCTTCGGCGCTATTCAATAGAGCGGAGAAAGCGCATTTTTTCATTATCTGATTTCGCGCAATCATCATAAAGGGAGCTGCACCGGTTATCGAGCTTATATCAACCGCCCCACTTACACTACCAACTCGATCTGTGCCAATCACTTTGAAATTTTTAAAAGTACAAAAAACATGTTCATCTCCATGCATCCACGTAATGTTAGGACTAAATATATTTCCTGGGGTTTTAATTTTCCATGAATTAAACATTTCCATGTCACAATATTGCTCTTTCGCGGGTATCCACAAATACTTAACCTCATCCCAATGCCTGTACACAAATTTTCCCAAACCCATGTTCCAGACATTTGACCGTTTCTTAACCTCATCACGGTCATGGTCCTCAGGCCTCAGACTATGTCTCGAGAATGAGCCACTGTCTTTGATATCAAATTTGGGCGAGGCCATCAGAATTTTATAGTCAGTTTTTGTCGCACCGCGCCTTTCTGAAGGTTTCAACATCGGCAAATAATATTTACTACTCCAAAACCCATGCGCCAACGTTCTGGTTTGCATCCCTAAGGTTTTATTCCATCTCGTCCACACGATCGGGAATATACTCTTATTAGCCGGATGATTATGGAACGACCTCCAGCTTACAGTACGCGTCGTTGTCTTATCCAGCCCCATTACCACTGGAA